TGTCCTCAAGGCAAGAAACTGATTCAGTATAATAATGCCAGGTTGGAGAAATGGGCACCATATCTTAATCCCAATGGCCTAGTCACCCGACTAACGGTGTATGAAGATCCAGACTGTAAGTAGATTTAAAATAGGAGATCCTTTGGGAGGAGGGGTCAAGGGTCACATTCAGTTTGATGTAGTGTGTGGAGATAATTCTCTGTTTTTAATAATTTTTATTAAAAGTTTTAAAAGTAAAAGATAATGCAAACCAAATTCAGAAAAAAGAGAGAAAATGAAATGAAAAAGAATAGAAACTACAAAGAAAAAAAGAAAAGAGAGAAAGAGAAAGAGAATAAAGAAAAAAGAATAGTTAAAGAAGTGACTTCCAATCTTCATCACAACAAGTACAGGCAAACTTAATATTTTTTCTCCCCTTATAAGGTTACATGCATATATCTCTTCTTCCCATAACCTATCCCTTTTCCATTCGCAAATCCAAAAATCATTAACGTTTCAGTCCAGTTGTCAACAAAAAGCCCATAAAGGGGCTATAGAGCTTTATCAAGTTATATCTTGTTTTAACCCTGGTCAAACAAGTCAGCTTTAAATTCCTCCCTTTTTCTTCTAACACTCTTAATTTTTGATCCATTGAAATACTGTTGTAGGTTTTGATCTTCCTTCCTTCCTTTCTCCCACCTATGAAGTTTCTTCAAGGCTTTAGCAACCCTCGTTTGTAAATCCATCAAGAAGTTGTTATCCAGGTCATTGTCTTGGCTTGTCATTTGTATTTCTATTTTAACATCTGTCTCTGTCTTCTAATCCATGATTTCTTTGTTTTCCAGTAAATCTACATAAGCTTGTTTCACCTCTTCATCCTGTAGGTCTTCCAAAACATTTTTCTTGACAACTTTCCTTTCTTCTTTTGTAAATAATGCATTCATATAGGTAAACATTGTTTCTCCCATTGTAACTACAAGACTCTGTCCCCATTCTTCAAAAGTCTCTTGAAAAAACTCAAATTTCACTGCATTAATCCGTCATTTTGTACAATCCAATGCTTAATCTTACATTCAAAAATGAGAAGTGGACTTTTTTCTTTTTCTGCCTGGAATCATTAGGCCCCTCTAGTGTCTAATTTCTAAAGTCATAAAGTCTTGAATCTCTGTTAGTTTGAGAGACTAAACAAAATGGTATTCCCACAAAGGTATTATTTATTAATTTAGATATTTCTCAAATCTTTTAGCAAAAATCCTAAGATTCCAAATTTTTCTGGCCTTTATCCTTACCTAGTTTTTTGCCTTTTATCTCAAATTCTTTAATTTCTTTAAGCTATTAATTGGTTTTCTTTTATTCTGGAAAGAAGGTAACTTACCAGGTGGGTTTTTTTAACCAATACTGACCAATCAGTGCCCATGTTATTGTCTCTGTTACACTGATAGCAAATTTATTTAACCTATTATTTAGGTTATTTAACCTATTTAACCTATACCTCACCTTTCTACCAGCAACTGATGTCCAATGCTGCAGTGGAAGCATTATCACGTGTGGAGGGCTGGGGAGGCATGATATTGTCCCAGGAACAATAGAAAAGACAAGGAATCCTTTGCTGGCAAATGAGATAACTTGCCAGTGAAATGGACTCCCTTGAAAGAGATGCACACACTATCTTTGCCTAATGTGTAAGCCTGGGGTTAGTTTGCAAAACCTCAGTTCAGTGTGAGGAAAATTCAGTATTGCTTTGCATCAAGATCAAGGATCTATGTTTGGCTTGCTCCTTCCTTCCTTCCTTCCTTCCTTCCTTCCTTCCTTCCTTCCTTCCTTCCTTCCTTCCTTCCTTCCTTTCTCTACCATCAAATTTCACAAAGTCTCATGGGAGTGTACAATGAAATCACACACACTCTAATAAAAAATCAGATAGAATTTTTTCCCACTAACACATTTGATTAAAAGGCACAAATGTTTATGAGCTTCCGCCTTTTAATAACATTTGTTAGTCAGTAATGTGTTATCAGATTCCTTCTGATCATTTGCTACCATAAACTAACATGGCTTTCTTTCTCCAAGCCTTGTAATAGTGAACAGTAAATCAGTACAAAAGCCAAACCCATATAAGTCCTAGATCCAACAATAATTCAACTAATCTGAATATAAGTATAAATATAAATGTAGATAAAAATTACATTTATCTAAATAAGGAATCAACGAAGAGATGTCAACTCTAAATGTCTTTCCATACAGTGCCATTTTTAAGGCTTTCCCAAAGCTCATGGGTGAAAGTGTCATCTGGATCCCCAGTGAGTGGCTGTTCCAAAGGGTGAATGCTGACTCAGAGAAACAGTTCTGTCTTTCTGTCCCCGAATCTCTCAAAAAAGAGGAACTCACAGCATTCCCAGAGAATGAGTGCATTGAAGAGATAGGACCAGTTTGAATAGGCAGTCCTGTGGGTACCAGTTGCCAAGCGATGGAGGGCTTTGAATTCTACCTACTCAGTGCCATGCCTGCAACACAGGTATTATAAGCAAACAGTGGTCCTCACTATTTGTACCAATGGCCGCTTTTGAGCAGTCTTCAAAAGCCATCCCGTGTAGAATACATTGCAGTAATCTAATCAGGTGGTAACAAGGCCATGAGTTACTGAAACCAGGGCCTCTAGCTGGGGTGGAAAACCACCATTCTGAAGACTGAAGATGGCTTCACCAAGCCTCCACCAAGGACTCCTTCCCTCCACAAGACCTGCCCCTCCTTTGGGCAAGTTCTGAATGTCTCCTAAAAGTGCACCGTGGACTTTTCACTATTGCAAGCTGTTGGCTTACAATACTCAGCTGAGTCAGTGAGTTACCTTGTAAGAGAGGGTGTGTACTGTGTCTGTGAGGAAGATTTGAGAGTATAGTTCACACTAAACCTAATCAGTTACATTGACCAGGCAGGGATTATGTACCAGATGTTGTTTGATGGGTTTCAAACTTCTACCAGGAATTGAATTCTTGGACCTTTGCACCTGAAATGACTCTATGCAGTGCTGAAGCTTTAGGAGCTGTCTAGGTTCTGGCACTCAGTGGTGTTGCAGGAAAGCATATATAGAAATGGCCAGAATGGTAAATGTAGTCCACCTTCCCTTGAACTCTCAGCGTAGAAAGATGTAAAGTCATATAAAATCCTGTAAAGTTAAAACCAATGAAATTTAGCAGCCAGTAGACATGTAGCCTAGTTAAGTGTTTGTGTGAACTTGGCCCATCTGTGAATGAGATGAGTGACACTTAATGTGTTAGGCAGAGGACAAACCAACACCACCAATGGATAGCTTTTCCTCTGTCACAGACATGCAGCCAAGTGTGCATGTTAGGAGCCCAGTCTGGCTCTTATTTAATTGTTCTTCTGTTTATTTATATGACCACCCAGGCTTACATATGATTATAGATGCATAAGAAGCAAAGGATCCAAAGCAGAATAAACAGGGTCAACCAAAGCATATTCCCACTCAAGGCCTTTCATTTCTGGATGGGCTCGTCCCTCTTGGGCCCACTGCAAGTAGTTTTTCTCTTTTCTTTATAAGGTACAAAGGTGCTTGAAGTGAAGGAGTGGTTCAAGAATCGCGAAGACACGTTGGACACCAGAGAACTAAATAAACAAACCCAGGTCACAGTGGAGCACTTTTTGCCTGGACATGCCCTGGGCCTGAAAGGTATCCAGTCCAAAGAAAGGCATACTGTCTCTAGGCTGGGTAAAAGGTGGCCAAGGGCTCAGGTGGGGACTTGATTCCCTGCTATTAGAAGGTCAAAGGAAAGGATTAGAACAGTGTTGTCCAAACTTGGCCACTTTAAGATGAGTGGACTTCAACTCCCAGAATTCCCCAGCCATGCTGGCTAGGGAATTTTGGGAGTTGAAGTCCACTCATCTTTAAATGGGCAAGTTTGTGCAACACTGGTCTA